TTTTAGTAGAGACGGGGTTTCACCATGTTGACCAGGATGGTCTCGATCTCTTGACCTCGTGATCCACCCGCCTCGGCCTCCCAAAGTGCTGGGATTACAGGCGTGAGCCACCGCGCCTGGCCCATCAACCTCTGTTAAGGCTGATATTCAAAAAATGAGCAAACATTCAAATAAGAAAATGAAAAAGATGAAATAAGAAACATGAAGTTAAAATAATGAAAAATATTATAAAGGACTATTTGTAAGAAAAGTTGATAACCTAAGTTCAAATTAACATTTGAATAAACCTAATAAACTGAAATCATATATAGAGAAACTCCTTCTGGGAAAAAAAAGTATCAAGGCCAGATGGATTTATAACTAAGTCTTAACATTTATGAATGGATTTGATAGATTATTTGATAAGGGATAAACAGCGTAAGAATAAACAGCCCAGGCTATGGAAGGTCGCTCACGCCTGTAATCCCATCACTTTGGGAGGCCGAGGTGGATGGATCACCTGAGGATGGCAGTTCAAGACCAGCCTGACCAACATGGAGAAACTCCATGTCTACTAAAAATACAAAATTAGCCAGTCATGGTGGCACATGCCTGTAATCCCAACTACTCGGGAGCCTGAGGCAGGAGAATCGCTTGAACCCGGGAGGCAGAGGTTGCAGCGAGCCGAGATCATGCTGAGATCACACCACTGCATTCCAGCCTAGGCATCAAGAGTGAGACTCCGTCTCAAAAAATATATATATAAGAAGAAAAAACAGTTCATTGAAAGTGTCCAGATGAGTGACGAGTATACAGGGATGTGCTCTAATTCGCCAGTAGTCCGTAATAATGCAAACTAACACATTTCAAGAACAAGCATTTGCAAGGATGTAGAAGAGGTGCTGCTGGAGAGAATGTAAACAGTTGGAGCCATTCTAGAGAGCAATCTAGTTTTCCTGGTAAAATTAACGGTACAAAAACTCTTTATCCCACTAGCCAACTGCTGGGCAAATAGTCTAATCTAGTTCAGGTCCACAAGAATACATCCCAGAGTATTCTTTGTGGCAGCCAGGAGTTGTACCCATCACTGCAGGAACAGATAAGTAGAACGGAGTAAATATGCAGGATGAATTACTACACAAATGTTAGAAGTGATGAACAGCATTAGAGCACTGTGCACAGAGAAATGTGAAAAATCTAAAAATCAATTCTCACTAGAAAAAAAAAAACGAATTTGTAGTGTCAGTTTTAAACATACATATGACCTATCTGGTAGGGAATACACATTCATTTAAGAATGCATATCAAACATACCTGTATGTGCCTATGAAGAAGGATAGGAATGGGACGTATAGAGGGGAACAAACCAAGGAATTAGTGTCACAGGAAATTGCTTTGATAATGTACTACGAATTGAAGTATGAAAAAAATCAATGGAAAATGAAAAAAAAGAAAAAAA